TGTGCTCATTGAAATTTGAAGCCGTTTGAATGACAATATCTCAGGAACTATTAAAGATAGAAGCCTGAAATTTTTTTTCTCGCCATGCTGATGATTCAGAATCTGCTGTATTGATTGACAATTTGATCCAATAATCTCTGATATTGTGAGTGAGTTGAAATATGAAAACAAAAGCCATCTTTGAGCACAAATTAACAAACAAATATAATGCAGAAGTCAGCTAGAGATATTATCTGAACCATATGTAACTGCATGTCACAGTAACATAAAACAAAACATAGAGAATACTTTTTAATTTAATTTTAATTTAAACTTAATCCAGTTCCTGAGTTTAAAAATCGTCAAAATTTCATTGTCTGTAAAAACATGTTGAAAGTAGGTCAGCGGACAACTTTCTAAATACAATTGTCTTGGAAAGTACTTGAAAGATCAATCAAAAAAATTTCACAGATACCCTTTTAAATATCTATAGTTTATGATAAAAGCAAATCAAAGGTGGTCGAGCAGAAGGCTCCTGATGGTTGGAGATGGAAGAACCTGGTTCTTTGAGTTTTTTCGTCATTTGTAAATTATTTGGAGCTTTTTCCTCCCATAAAGCACTATGGCTTGTGCTCATGTCAGATTAGTGTCCCTTGATAGTTCCAATATTCATTTTTTTTTAAACATTATGTTTGGGCTTTTTTGCCTTTACTTAGAGCAGTAGAGATAGACAGGAAATGGGGGAGAAGAATGGGGAGAGACCTGCAGCAAAGGGTCGTGAGTGGGAGTCGAACCCACAACAGCTGCGTCGGGGACTATAGCCCCTGTTCATGGGTGGCCCGCTCAACTAGGTGAGCTATAGGGACGCCCCAATATTCTAATTTTAATAGATCTGGAACGAAGGGACCTATTGGCCTTAATATTTGTCAAATGTGGACATATTCAGTTCCTGGAGGAGAAGAGGTTCTTGGTCTTCAGCGGTCCATGAAGACGAAGCTGAGCCTGTTTCTGTCTCTTGTGCCCACCACAGTTCTTCATGGTCATGTGTATCGTGTACGTTCTGTTCGGGGCTCTCTGGCTCTTCTGGTGTGCCTGTTACTGGAGGGACCTGCTGCGGATCCAGTTCTGGATCGGTGCCGTCATCATCCTCGGCATGCTGGAGAAAGCCGTTTTCTACTCCGAATATCAGAGCATCCGCTACAAAGGAGACTACGGTCAGTTTTGTTCTTTCTAGCGTACGCTTTAATTGTTTTCATTCTGTTGCAGGGATGCACAATGATCTCTGCATTATTGACATTGATGTTCCCTGCGATTACGTGTCAAAAAAAAAGTGTACACATGTCGGCTATTAGCAAAAATAAGATGGAAAATATGAGCATATTGGTAAAAAATCCACCATATCGCGCTCCGGTTGTGTTGTAATCATCGTTTTGTTTGTCTTTGCAGTTCTGGGTGCTGTGATTTTCGCTGAGCTGCTCTCTGCTCTCAAAAGATCTCTCGCTCGAATCCTCGTCCTCATCGTCAGTCTCGGCTACGGAATAGTCAAGTGAGTTGACTCACCGTTTTGCGATATTTTTACATTTTAGAGCCTTTCAGCAATTTCCCTGAGGTTTTTACCAAGGGGATCAATAAAGTTCTATTCTATTCTATTCTGTTCTTTTTAAATCGAGACTCTTTACTAACTCCCTGACTGATGCTCAATTTAAATCAAGAATTAGTACGACTGGGTATGTTTTTCCTCCCTCTGCAGGCCCAGGCTGGGTACCACGGTTCACCGGCTGGTAGCTGTTGGCCTTCTCTATCTTCTCTTCTCGTCGGTGGAAGGAGTGCTCAGAGTCACGGGAGTAAGTTTAGGTGTTGCTCGGTTACCACACACTGACAGTCTCGTTCAGTCGCGCAAACATATCGAAGTTAACGTGTCTTTATTGGTCTGAACTTTCCTGGTCGGAACCCCATTTAATTGGTGCATCAAAGCAAACGATCGCAAAGACGCACAAAGTCAGCCCTGGTTTATTTGCAGATACTCATGATTACTGATGCAACAGCAAGTGTAGCAAGTGCAACTGAAGGATGTACTATGACGCAAGATTGAATTAGCCAGACTTCCTTGGCCTCAGCTGACTCAACAAAACCTAAAACCACTTGGTATAATTACGGTAATTATAAACTTTGTTAGCCCAGGTTTTCTTCTTGATGCGTCATTCGACTGTTTTCCACACAAAGTACCTACTTCAGTAAAGAAAGACAGGCTGTTATAATGGAGAGCTGTGATTAATATAAAAAAAATATGGGAGCAAGTGCTGTTACTGCAAATCAGGCAAGAGAGGAATGCTGATAGAAAATAGTTCATCATGTAAGTTAACATGACTGTTTTACCATTTTTATGCACTCACACTGCAGGCGCTCAATTCCAAAGTGACAGATTCACATTGTAGTTGTTAAACTTTAGACTTCATACATTTAAACATGATACTCAAGAAGTTTGTTTAGTTCTGCAACTATCCTATAATCAAGAAGACATCAAAACCACTTTAGCTTTTGTACAAATCAAAGTCTCTATAGAGTAATTGTTGTGTCCCTGCTCTGTAAGCGTTGAAAGGAAGCAACATGAAACCAGTTGTTTTTAGTTTGGCAAAGTTATTTTATGCGTACTAGCATAATGAATAAACAAAGGAGGCAAAACTGCAAAGAAGACGGGGCCTGTGGGCGTTGCTAAATGAATGACACAAATACAATCAAAAGAAGCGTAACGCTGCTCCAACTTGCTAAATAAACGGCGAAAGAAAACAGCCAAGCTCCCTAACCAAGCTGAAATACAAAGTGTGTTTAACAAGGGATATCTGTCTTACTAAGCCTGGCCCAGTTTCCAGACAGTGGGACGAGTGCCTCAAAGACAGCTCAAAGCTACGAGTAACCGCTGTTAAGTAATTACACAACACACAAAGACCCGGGAGGCACGGAGCCGAGCTGCTCGCATTAAGATTAGGTGCACATTTAAACCCAGGTGTAGTGACTTCTGCAGCTTGATAGGAGCACAATCAATCGCAAGGATGGGCAAAGGGAGGAACAAAGGTCGGGGCTCAGAGCTGTAGAGAAAGCTCAAGAACTTGTCCTGGTCAGGCGCCTGCAGAAACCAACTTACATACAAGGAAGTGTTTAAGACAAAAGATGACTTCTCTCTTTGTGCCTGATTAAGGTCTGGTATTGAAACGTTCCACTAACGAACGTATCTTTAAAAGTTTGTGTGCAAGAGTCTGATTAAATCTTCTGCACACCTACTTTACAGAATAGATGTGTGAAATCGTCTATGTTCTATCAGCTGCAGTACCAGCGGCGTTACATTAGCAGCAAATCAGGAGCAAACTTTAAAACATGCTGATGCATCACCAACTGAATGCATGTAGGTTCCCCGTAAGGTTTGCCTGCTGCAACTGCACTGCTTCGTTAGAGGCTCAACAGTTTTGCAGATACGACCTTAGCTGAGACTCTGTAACCCTAACCCTCCTCCAGAGCAGGTTAGCTGTGCAGCATCAGTTACCATGGCGATCTAGCATGTTGAAATAGAGTCTAATATACAGACTTTACGCTCAACATACCTGCTAAACTCAGTCATCTGGCTTTCTGCAGCTTTTTATCTAACAGCTCACTGAGGCTATAGCGTATGTGCGTTGTTTGAAATCCAACCACTGCTACATAAATACCCAAAATGTTGCTGCTTTGTTTCGCAGATTGTTTTTATTAAGCTGTGGTTGGCTAAAGACAAGCAGTGAACAGTTGCTAAACTCGCTAATTGCTATCTTGCTTCACAATAAAAGCCAGTCGAATGCTTTTGTTATGACGCAGAAACCACACGCAAGCGAGTAGTTATTTATGATTTCAAAACCAAAGTGCTTCACAAGGTACAAAACACACAGTAATACAAATCTGAATGCATAGTTCAGTGAAAGAGGAAAAATTAGCATGAGGGGAACAAGTCAGGGCAGCAACCATCAATAAAACACCTTAAAGATGCACTTTCTGCTGTTTAGGAAACCACTTATATTCCACTTCCAGGCCTTACGAATTAAGTTGCAGCGGCCACAGATGAATTTCATCCTGGCAAATATAACGAAGCCGCTGCCTTTCACTTAGTACAGATGGCACGTTATCTGTTGCAGCCTCCGTGGGGCGATTGAAGCCGATGGTTGTGATGTTTTGGTTTTTTTTTACTTGCTTGGCACAGCGTTCAAGGCGCTCTGTACAAATAAATTTAATTTGAGTGCAGGAAACCATAGAGAGAGGGAAGGTTAGACGGGGATGCGGTCTCTGGGAGGCAGACAGGTAACGATAATAGAGAATGACGAATGCGATCCAGAGAGTGATTTTTCAAACGACACTGCAGCAACAGCTCCGCAAACATAAGATAAGGAGGACAGAAAGAAGAATGGAGTTTGTGTGTTTTCAGGAGAGGAGACTTAAATCTTCTCCAAGCTTATCTAATGTTTAAAAAAAGGGGTGTAGCTTCCCTTATGATTAAGCACTTCTTCTCTCCCGCTGCAATGTTTACACAAACTCTTTGCTCTCTGCCGTCCTCTAGACTTGGCCGTTATCTTGTTTCTAAAACTGGACTCTTGTCTTCTTTTTTCCACAGGGTTTCTATGGAACGGTCGCTCTGGTGGCTAATCTCAGCCTCTCCCTCATCGACTCCTGTGTCATGTGGTGGATATCCTTTACTTAAAAACCCTAAAGGGGCTTAGGTTTTTGGAACACACACACACCCCTCTGATTTATCTGGTTTTATTCTCCTTAATTTGCATCTACATTTTCATCAGCTTGTCTCAAACCACTCGTCTCCTGAAGCTCCGCAGAAATGTAGTGAAGCTCTCTTTATATCAGCACTTTACCAACACGCTCATCTTCTCTGTTGTCGGTGAGTTACGCTGCTCTGGCACAAGCACACTTTCTGTACTGTCAATATGTACTCCTGGATGGGCTATTTCATTATATTATTGCACCTTAAGCTTTCAGCGTCTTGCTCATATATCTGTTGCAGTTGGTAGTGCAAAATGAAGCCAGGATTTTGCATCAGAAAAGCCTGAAAACCATAAAATAAGACCAGACATAGTAGGATATACTGGTATTTTTTTACATGATGCATGTCACACATTATGTATTGGAACAAACTGGTGTCTGGTGTCTCTTATCTGTTCTGTGTAAAAACAGCTCGCAGTTCAGCCATAAAGTCCCTGAATATTATAGTATTACAGATTTTTTTTTATTTTTTATTAACACAATCTGGTCAGAAAAAAGTGTTTTTTGTTTTTTTGGGCGTATTTTTAAATTAGAAGACAATAAATTTGATGAAATATCAAAATATTCAGCATGGATTTGGTTAATTTTCCACATAGGACAGTACATCACCAATGACTGGTTTGCAAACGTTCATAAAGGTGCCAATCTGTCCAATATTTCTGTTTTTAGACATGGTGGTACTGATAAATGGTTTAATTTTAGCATTTTTTTAAAGAAGATAACACCTTTTAACCCTTTCGACAGTATAGCCCACTATACCGGTCTGCCGCTTTCTCTCTGTTCAACCCTGCAGCCTGGTATAGCGGCTCTGGTATATGGCGACTTTCTGTTACATTTATTTTGATTGGCTATCAGTGGGAATCCCCGTATGTGAACAAGCGATTCAGTCATGAAATAAATTATGCAAATGAAGTAAAATGACATCATTTAACCCCAAAAATCACTCGAAAACGGGATTTTCGCTACCTCATTTCCGAAATGTTTATAAGCGATCAAAACTAACGAACAAATTACAAGACTTTGGCTGTTGTCTCAGCATAAAAGAACTGATAATTAATTGCATTTATCCCTGGTAGTTATGAATCCTACCTTTACCTTTTCTTTTTCACACCCGTATTTCACCTCTATAAACTTCCAGATATATTTAAGCATCATCTTGTCTACTTTTGATTGCTGCCAGATATGTAATGATGTGAAGTCTACTTAAGAATTTATGAGTGACCAATCAAAACCATGTCTGATCATGAATTTCAAGCAAAGTTACTTTTGAAGTGTATAAGGAATACACATTTACTTAGTGTTGAAAAGGTTAAAACTGCTGCTTTTGCATTGATTAAACAAACAATAATCTACATATTAATTACTTTTAGTGGTGCTGGAATGCTAACATTATGACCTTTTTGCAGCTTTATTAAATTTGTGCATAGCAAACCTGGCAGTTTCCTCTCATTTCCAGTCCTTACGCTAGGCTAAGCTAAACAGCTGCTGCCTCATATTTCCTGTACACATGTCAGAGTGCCAAATCTTCACATCTAGCTCTCTACAAGAAGTCACATTATATTCTTTTAATACATTCGTCTTGTGTTATTCTACCCATGTATGTAAACACACTCGCCTATTTGCCTTTGGAATAACCTTTTGTTCGGTTTCTAATTCTGATTCCACCGGTGGGAGATTTCATGTGCTGTTTCTAAGCATTGGCATATTGTTTACAGGCATCAAACTGCAACCGATGTTTACTTTGTGTCCACAGCTTCCATCATTTTCATCATCTGGACCACCAAAGTCTTCAAACTGGTCGACTGCCAGAGGGTCAGTTTATCTGCTGTTTTGACTGAGCGATTGTTTTCCGCACTGAGGTTTCTGTTTATACGGAGCTGAAAAGTGATCTTTGCCTCCTCTGTTTGCTATTTTCATCCTCGCTGCAGGGTTGGCGGGACTTGTGGGTAGACGATGCCTTCTGGCGTCTCCTGTTTTCCACCATTCTGCTGGTCATCATGGTGCTGTTGAGGCCTTCTGCAAACAGTCAGAGGTCAGCGTCACTGTGGGGCTTTAGCTGAACCCTGGAACCCAAAAAGCTTCTTTACACAGTCACAGTGGTTCATATGGATTCAACCTGCATTCTGCTTCTCCTCAGGTTCTCCCATTCCCCTCTGATTGATGAAGACGATGAAGAGGAAGAGGCCAAGGAGCCCATGCTGAACGAAGCGTTTGGTAAGACATAGAATCAGAATCAGAATCAGAATCAGTTTTATTGCCAAGTAATTTTTACGTCACCAGGAATTTGACTTGGTCCATTGGTGCAAAGAAGCAGAAATAGATGACCTAATGTGTTGCACAGTTCAGACATCCCATCAACCAGAGACATACTGAAATGCTTTCCCCTGATAACACAGATCATCACAAACTGAGACGCTCATATCAAAAATGTTACACCTCCTAACCCCACAACCTGCAGTCAGGTTTAAAAGGCATGTTATCTTTTTAAAAATCACCAAAATTACTGAAACAACCTGAAATCAAAGTGTACAATCTCAAGACTGCAGGTGTTATGAATACTGAAAAAACTATGGTGGCTGCACAAACTATAAATACTTTACAATTTACATTTTTATTTGTTCTCATTCTTCCCTCCTGTCTGTTCTGTGTATACATTGAACACAGCTTGCAGTTCAGTGTAAAAAAAAAAAAAGCCCTGAATTGTTGTCATGTGACTGTTGGTTGCAGCTGAGTCACTAATGGCTTCTTTAGTTTTGGTTTTTTGGTATAAGTGTTGTATTTTTCATGAATGTTTACATGAGACGTAGGTTAGGTTTGGTTATTTTTCCTGCACGTCAAACATGATTAGTTCAAGGACAGTTGAATAGTTGAAAACACGCTGATTATTTCTGTTTTCACAGTTTCTAAATCTGATGAATGCTGTGTTTTTGGCACTTTTTTTTTTTTAAAGATAACACGTGTTTCAATTCCAGCAGCTTCTTTTGTGGGTTCAGAAGTGAAAAGTCTCATAGTTTTCTGTGCTGCCGACGTCTGTAAATTATCTGCTCACAACTTGGGTCTGATCCTCTAAAGACAACGTCGTCGTTCGGGGTGTCGTGTCGAATAATCCAGTGTTAATGAGGCTGTGATCTCAATCTGTTCACACTGACGTAAAGAGAAAAGATTCACTGAGAAATGTTCATCTTATAATCGTATAATAGTATAAAAAGAAAATTCTGTAAGGTAGTTATAGTGCAATCATATTTTTGGACGTGAGGCCTTTATGTGATCTCAGCTGGCTTCTTCTTTTTTTTTTTTTCAGAGGGAATGAAGATGAGAGGCTCAAAGCCCGACACGAACGGCTCCCAGAAGTTATTGTCTAAAGAGGTGAGTCGACTGTCTGCTGCCATCTTCTCTCTTCCTTTATCCGTTTGTGTTTTTGATACTCAATTTAAAATAACTCTGCTTCTGTCAGGATGAAGACCTGAAGTGGGTCGAGGAGAACATTCCTACAACTGTTGCTGATGTGTAAGTAAAGTGGTTTTGAATTTTAGACAGGAAGCTCCGTGTGCCCACAAGGCAAAATTAAAAATAAAAATAACGTTTATTAGTAGAGCACTTTCCAAAATCCAACTTACAAAGTGCTTCACAGGGCAGCAAGATAAGAGGAAAGGCACGAAGCAGAAGAATATATATTTTATATTATGTATTTGGTGATGCTGCTCTCAGCCAAGAAATGTAAGAGGAGCTGAAAGTATTCATATTTTTAAGCTAAAACCTTTTCAGTCTGGCTTTTATGTCATGTTGTAGAATTTTTTGGTTTTAGTATTATTTTTTATTTTCTATCATCGTTATTATTTCATTCTATTTCATTTTATGAACATTTTACTGTCTTTTATGTAACCAATGTAATTTGTGAAATAGCTGCTAATTTCTATTTTTTATTTTCATTCTTTATTCTTTTTTTTAGTATTTTACCTTCTTATCAAGTGTTTTGGTGTGCTTCAGTCTGAATCTATTTTTACCATTTTATGTTTTGTCACTTTTAAAGCATTTTAAACTGCTTTTGATAGACTGGAAAATGCAATATAAATAAAGTTTGACTGATAAAATCATCAGGATTTTTAAAGAAAGATAAAAATAATATTTGTGTATAAAACCCAACACTGTCTTGGAAAAGATTCTAGTCCCTCTGAACACAAAAACCTGGGTTTGAAAGGCATCTTGTCTTTAAAACATAATGTTAAAATAAAGCAGTTATCGGAGCCCGAAACTGCGAGGAAAAGAGAGAAAATTCAGATTTCAGATGTCCGTGAAACATCTATGCCATGTTGTTCTCTTGGGAAAATGAATCCAATATAAACCTAAAACCATCATATTTAATCAAAGGGATTTTGATTTTACATTTCTCATTGCAGAAATAAACAGTTTGCTTGAACCATATCCTGTAAAAAAAATAAAAATAAATAAAAAATTGTAATTAAAATCCTGCAAAATTCGGCTGAACTGCAGGCTGTGCTTAAACAGGGTTGATAGGACACAAGTAAAATAAAGAATCAAGGAGATTCAACTTTAATATTTCTTTTTTTTCACAAGTTATGGCGTTATAACTTTATTATACGGCACAGAGGACATTTTTTAGTTCTCTTTACTCCTAGTCTTGGCTGTTCTGTTTCCATAGAGGTGCAGGATTTTATTTAACAGTGAAAAATGAGCCAGAGTGAGTAAAAATGTGACATAAAAACACCCAGAAACTGACTGGCATTCAGAAGTTTAAAAGAAATAAAAGATAGTTATAACTCCCTACAGGCTTCACATTACAATGTTTGACTGAAGACACAAGTTCCTGCATTACCTGGAATGTGTAAGAATAAAATATCTGCTGTAAAACATTTATTATATCTTAATGTCAGAGCCTCTGTAAGATTATTAATGGAGTTTACAATCAAGAAGAGCTCACAGTAGAACGGTATCTTTTTATCAGCAACACAGCAAACCTGTAGGGAGCGTCTTGAAATGTAGTTTTATTAATGTCTGGACCATGTGATGCACTCACTGCCTTCATGTTTGATTTTTTTTTTCCTCTCTTTACACAGAGCTCTCCCTGTCATGCTCGATGAGGAGGAGGTAAAGAGCCCTTTCACTTCCCTCATGCTCGTCCCATGATTCCAGTCACATTTCAGTCTGTTCAGAAATGCTCCACCGTGCTGTCGTTCCACAGTCACGCTGCCGCACGTGAATTAATCTGCGTTTCTGCTTTCTAGGAAATCCTGAAAACCAAGATGGAGCGATCCAAAATGGAGTGAATGCAAGAAGGTGGTGCGAGACGGAACAGAAAGCAATTTCACTGAGGCAGCAACGAATGCGTTCGGAGTGATCAGATTACCAAAAAATGTGGGAAAAGCCAACAGTTGTCTCCAGACACTTTAACATTTTTATTTTTGTTTAGTTTCACACGTGTTGTGTAACACTATAATAAGCTCAAAGAAGCATGACTAGTGTGTTATATTAAGGCCGTACTGTTGGATGGGTTGGCTGTTGATGTCAAGGTCAGCATTCTGGGGTGAAACCGAAGCGACTACACAGAAGAGCATTTTTATAAATATTTTATTTGTTTCGATGATGTTTCTACACGAACTTGGCCGCACAGAAACGGGGCGCGCTACGTTTGTTTGCCCTCACGGAAAATAGAATATTTATCAGAATCCTGTCCTGTGGTTTTGGACTAATACAATATTTAATGTGGTTTCGTAACCGCTGGGTAGATGTTGAAAACATTTGCGATAACTTCTGCAGAAGTGACGCCCGATAAGTCGGATTTGAACCTAGATCAGGTAAGACATGATGCTTGGTGGTCGTCGCAGCCGAGATGTCAGCTGATAGGACAAATGAAGGAGGAAACACATGCTGAGAACAACAACGTATTGTGCGTTTAGATGATTTAAGTCTTTAAGTTCCCCTCTGATGGTTTATTAAACCCCTAAAACTCATCTCTGCGCATTAAAGTTGCATATTCTGAAGTTTTTTTCCAGCACTTGCTGCAGCTCGAGCACACCAGCTCACCTTCGACTCTACTCAAACCTTGCTTACAACTTCTGAAGAAGAAGAAGAATGATGCAGACAGTGCCACCGTGCAGACTGACAGCATTAGTTCTTCTGGTTTGTTACGTATGAAACTCTAAATACTAAACTATAAAAACTACTTCAGTTCCATCAGAGGGGGACTTTAACAAATGAACACTAGATTATCCTCAGAGACCTGCTGCGCAATACACACCGTACATAACAGGGTGAGCACACGCTTGTGCAATACCTCTTAAATGTCAGATGATTCTGAATTGTGGCATCTTAGACTCATTGCATTACCTCCCAAGTGAACAGTCAGGTATAGTAAAAATACGGTCATAAACTAGCAGTTTAGGTGTATGATATTAAACATTCAGGCCCCACAGCAGACGCTCAATGCAACAAAAGTCAAAGAGATTCTAATTTTTTATTTTTATTACTTCCTACGTCCAAGGTGTTTGAGTTTTGTTGCTCTCCCTTTTACTTATAACTACCCCAAAATGGTTCTAATCCGTTCACATTCTCTACCGCGTCACTCTTTTTACTTCTTTAATGATTACATGCTCCCAGTTTCTGCTTTGGGGCCCTAATTTTCAATATAATCTTTAGTTTTTGATCATTCATTAGAGAAAATACTCAACTTGTCAACTTAGAACTGCTGCAACCCCGAAGAGATGGTACACTTGAGGAATCATTTGACTTCTAAGTGACTCACTTCTGTCGTATACTTAAACACTGTAGTTTTCAGCATGTGTTTTATTCTGTTATTGTTGGTCACGTGATGATTTAATATTTAAACAAGCAGGTGTATATGATTAACCATTTAGCCAGATAACTGAAGGAGAATGTTTTAATGCCTCTGCGTAGCCGTTTTCTAAGTTTATTTCTTGTAGCTAAACCAACCAACGATGTTCGTGTGTGTTATTGTCGACACATAAGTACCACCTTGTTGTCTGGCTAACTGAGTAATCCTGAATTTAGAATTAAATAAGCCACTGTTACTACACAGTATGACTTCAGTGAACATTGATACTTGAAGCATATCACATTTGTTGGGAAATCGTGCTACATCTCTGTTTTTTGGGAGGGGGAAACTGTAATTTTTTGGGAGAATGTAATGAGGCTCTTGGTTGTTGAGCTCTTAAAGCCAAGTATATACTGTCGGACCACTGTCCATTTTGTAGACACGAGCCAGATCACTTCTCTGGGATGTCATTTCTTTACAGAGCACCTAAAGCAGCTGAAAATGTGACTCCAGAATTGGTGATTTACAAGAAAAATTACCCTTCATGGTCCTCAGTTAAAGGTGAAAATGCGTGATCCTTATAAAAACAAATGGCAGACCCATTTGCAAGCATAACCGGTCGTGTGTCCAAAGTTAAGCCTGTTTATTTTCACATTTAGAAACAGTGACGCTTGGTAGCTATTCACATAATCACAGTGATTTAGGTCCACTTTATGTTGACGTCACCAAAACGTAAACTTTTTTTAGCCACTGAATAGCAGTACTAAGAATATGTTGTGGGCCCAAATTCAATTCTACATGTGATTTACTGCTTATATGTAATCCTTTCTCACTCCCCCCTGCACCGACTGGGCCACAGTTCTCTTTAGATCCTCGCTCAAAATTTAGTAGCACAGGGTAGTTTTCAAGAAGTACTGTAAATGATAAATTATTAATGATCATTTCACCGTAATTGCAGATTCCTTTGAGCCTTTTCCCGATCACACTGCAAAGTTGTCTTGCCTTACGTGGCAGAATTATATCCTCATCCTTGTGCAGTCTACTGCAGTATGAGTGGAGATTCTAAAATCCTTAATTTATGTTTTTGTTTTTTTTAATATATTTGTCCAAGTCTTGTTGAGATTATTTTATTTCAGAGAGACACTAAAGCCCTATTTCTGGATTTGAGTCTGCATTGTATTGTGAAGCTGATGATATTGTATGGCTTTTTGCGTATGTCCTGCAAATAAATTTATATTGAACTATGGTTAAAATGTCAGTTTTGTTTCAGGGGGGAAAGCAGTCTTTACTCTCTATACACACTCAGCTGCAGTGTTATTTGATTTAAAAAAACGCAACACAGCGTGACTCAAAACCAAAAAATAAAAATGAATATAATCAAGACTAAAATTTAAAAAAAGTTATAATTTACCAGTACATTTAGCTCAATATCCTAACCCTCCTAAATACATAAATGAATAAATTAATTATGTTTTTTATTCAGCAAATTACGTAAAGTGAAATATATTAAATATGCATATATTGATATAAAAACATGTCAATTACATTTGAAATAAAATAACCTTAATATAAGAATAGCAAAATTATGGTGTTTAAGGTAAATTATATATATAATAAATTTTGGATTTTATTTTATTTAAATTGTTATATTTTATATATGAATATATAATTATACATGTGTTGCTGTTTGCTCCATTACTTATATTTTTTAATATTTATATATATTTTTGTGTTTATTTTATAGATTTTATTTTATTATTTTTGTTATATTTATATTCGACATACATACATACATACATACATGTGTGTATTTCTATTGATTTACTGAATAAATTGTTAATATTTAAAATATTTTATAGTCATATATTCATATTTATAGTGTTATTTTATTTAACATCTTACATTTATATTTTCTTAATAGATTCAGACATCATGTGGGTGAAAAATAAATCCTGTAATTTTTCATTGTCAGAATCAGCACCAGTGCCTGAACTTGTGCAGGTGTTTTTCCTGGCCATGAATAAAATCTCGCGACAACACCGCCGCACCATTTAACTCTGCTACAAATGTCGCTGCAGCTTTAATGCGTTCCTCGTGAGGGCGCAGACTTCAGTCACGTGCCTGTCAAACCCGACAGCCTCGCGCAGCCGTCGTCAACACAACTGAGGAAGTAGCGAGAAGCTAACGCAGCTAACTAAGTGCTAAAACCGTGTTCACTACCACAGGTACTGGGTTAACTAGTGTTACGCTAGTCCTCGTTAACGAAGTAACTGAACGTCTGCTCGGTTTTAGTTGACGTGGAGCGAGAGGGAACAATGTTATAGAGGGAGTAGCCGTTGTTTGCTAACTTCCAAGCTAGCATGCTAACGATCAGCTGTTGTTGTGGTATTAGATAGCTGGCTAACAAGCCAAACTGCATAGCAGAACAGCAGTCGTTGACACCAGGGTTTAATCACAGCAGAGTTCCGCATCGCATACCGAAAAGTCGAGCTGCTCAGCTGTTTAATGGCGACATATAAAGGTGTACCACCCTGACAGACTAATCAGCGGTCAGTCAGTCAGCTGTTGTCCGACAGGCGTCGACTCCGTGTGGAATTGATCCAGCAGAGAGGTGTGTAATTCAATCAGCTTTACTGCTTCAAGATGCATGACGCCTATGAGCCGGTGCCTATTTTGGAAAAGCTTCCTCTTCAGATCGACTGCCTTGCGGCCTGGGGTGAGTTGTTGACACTTTGAAGGTCCCATGTGGCGAAAATTCATTATCAGTGTGTTTTGTTTGTGTTAAAACTTGGAGGTGCAAAAATACAGCTGTGCTAATATGACAGCACTTACTACTGCCATTCCTGTAATCATCTCTGATCTAGATAGCCTCCCAGTTGGACAAGGCTGTCAGATTTTTGTTCAGTTCCTTTTTTAGAACTAATTACCAATAGCTGTCTAGCTGAACATTTGTAGAACTTCCTGCTGCTTCCAGGTGAGTCACTAACAATGAGCAGCTGCCTCACAGTCCAGCAGGTTTATTTACTGACTAAAGCTGCTTCTGCTAACTTTAAGATGTTTAAGCCACAAAAAAAGCACATGAAATATTCTGCTGTTGGCCGCAAGAGTAAAAACAACAGTCATCAAGCACTGCAGCTTCTGAGGAGCTGAACACCCGGTGCATTACCTCTATTATTGATAGCAGTGACACCACAACAACAAGAAAATCCAGTGTTACCCTGTAGCGTGTGTCTAACATTACTGTGAGCCTTGATTGTGCGTCCACATGTGTAAATTGCAAATCTGAGGGACATTCAGAGATGCTGGAAATGTTAAGACCAGTATGGAACCAATAAACATGCAAACTGTGTGGGTTACTGTGTTTCCGTGTTGCCTGTTGTGTTTCAGTGCAACTTAAATTCAGCTGAGGGCTGTACTACGAAGTAAGATTAGTGGGTTAGCAAGGTATAGAGTCAGAGTTTTCAGTGTCACAAAGGTGTCTGCTTCATCTCCACGGTAACTGATGCTGTGGAGCTAACCTGGTCGGGAGCAGGTTAGGTTCAGAGTTTCAGATTTTAATCAGCTGGAAAGAGCGTCTCCCTTTAACCAAATCGTTTACTGACCATTATTTATGAGCAAACAGATTCTCAGCTGAGGGAACATGTTTTATCTGCTAACATGCTGAGTTGTGCGTTACTAATATCACTGAATGAAGTCGTGTAGTTACAGTAGCACATGCTGTTGCCATGGGAACCAGACATGAATTTAGTTGGTGACTCAAAAATCGCATAAATATGTTTTTATGTTTAACTCTGATTTGCTGTCAAGTCCATTTACACTGCTGGTACTGCAACAGAAAATTGATTATTCTACTGGTATTTATTACAGAGAATATTCAATCAATATCATGAATTTCACTTTGATTTGGCCAAAAATTTAACTGATATCCTGCATTATGGGACAGTGTCAGACCTAAATGCACTTCAATGTAAGATCAGGTTTAAATATATTAAATTTAAAGTTTAACTTTAACGTGCAGCTGTCAGTTGGATATAATCAGTAAAATATTATATATGAACGCGTTTAACAGTTTTCTACCAGCATTCCTGTCTTGTACCATTTACAGTCGCAGTGCTTTTAACCGTCATATTTTTTATAGTCCTCATTGTTCTCCAGTAGAACAACGTGTTGACTGAAGAAGCTGCACATTGTCGTTTCAATTTGTGCAGAAGAAGAGTCACATGATGCTTTATACGCCTCCTTTTATCAGAGTACAGAGTTTAAAGCAGAAAGTCTGAGTTGACAAAGACAGATGAAAACCACCTTCGTGACACCTGTGATCTCTGACTGGGGCTTTCGTTTTTGTCAAGCCGACTTACACAAAGAAAGCCTGACTATGCCAGACTTGCTTCGTAGTACAGCTCTTTGGGCAGTAACATCCATTTACTTCTCTCCTGATCCCTGTGCTCACATATGCAACACTTGAATCCTGCCGAATTCATCATAAAGCTGTTGTCATTTACACAAATTTCTGTTTCTGTTGTCCAACAAACACAAACTATTAAGACTGCATATTAACCTGTAGTCACTTCCCAACCATTGCTCTGCACAGTTAAAATCCTGATCTTGTAACTGAGCCCTATTTCTTCATTTGTTTTTTTATCATGTTGGAGTTTCCATTGTAACTGTACAGTTTTGCACTTTACCCAATCAGTGGCAGCCCTATTAGCCTAAGAGAATCCAGTTGCTGTTTTCAAGCTAAATACTAAGTAAAGACTGAAATACAACCCATAAATACTACATGTTAACCAGCAATCGCTTCCAAGCTGCTGGTCTGCACCACTAAAATTGTGATTGTCTAAATACAATATTGTCTGTGCCTCAATCAAATAGACAGAGAGAGCCTTCTTCCTGAAAGGGGCAAAGACAGCAGCAGATCAGTTGTATTTAAAGCTACATACACTAAAGCAGCCTGTTTAGAACAGACCAAAACACAGAAGTGATACAGTCATAGTAACAGAACCGTCTTTACAGTATTTTGAGCTGAAAAACTGAAGGACACATTCTGGGTACATGTGAGACTTTCGTTAAATTGCTGAAGGAGGCACAATATGGAACGTTTAGGTATCCCACAGCTACTCTTTCATTCTCTGACATTGAAGTGGTCCCTCTGGACGTTAATTGAGCTGCAGTCTCAGGTGTCCCACTCGTCTAGAAGTAATCTCACTGACATGAGCGATCTCCCTGCAGGCAGGTCACAGCTCCGACGCTGGCTGGAAATGCACGAGTTTGATAATATAATGTGTCTGAATGGACTGATTGCATCGCTTGAGCTGTCTTTGACGCTCAGTTTCTCTTCCCACAGAGGACTGGCTGCTTGTTGGAACAAAGCCAGGGCATCTCCTCCTCTACCGAATAAAGAAGGATCCAGGTAGGAAGAACTGAGGGGACGGACGTTTTCAGACCTTCTCAACCTTCCATTCCCTGCTTCAAATGAAAGTTTAACTCATTTTTGTTGATCTTTTGCTTCTAGGCACCAACCGGTTTGAGGTGACGCTGGAAAAATCCAACAAGAACTTCTCAAAGAAGATTCAGCAGGTAGACATCTTTGCAGGATGCGATTGTGGACGAAGAACTGCGTAAATCAAAATCTCAGAAAGGGGAAGAAGCGTTTGAATTATGGGAAGTCAAACGTACAAAAGCCTCCAGATTCGTAGACCTGCTTCCTGTTTTGGCTCATTGTTACTAATAATAGAATCTCTGATGTGAAGTTGTGCCTCACTTCACTCTAAATTTGGATCTTATCTATGAGTGGTAAACTCCCTTTGGTGGAATGAAACTGAGCTGCAGCATATTTTCAGCCTAGGTGTGTATCTAGTATGGATTCTTTTGGACTGAACCTGGTTTAATTGTGTTTTTTTGTTCTGTCTCCAGCTTTATGTCGTCTCACAGTACAAAATTCTTGTCAGTCTTCTGGGTAAGTTTCCCCCCTCTAACACATTTTTATGCGATTAAAATATCATGTGTTGACTTTCCCAGCCTTGTTGGGAAATTGAGTTAGAAGCTCCTGCCTTGAACATATTTTTGCATGCTCGAATATGAAATCTGTTGATGTTCAGACACGCAGTTCATTCGTCTTCATTATGACAATGACTATACAGAAATCTCTTTGACTCTCCCCTGCAGAGAACAACATTCACGTCCATGACCTCCTGACCTTCCAGCAGATCACGGTGGTGTCCAAAGCCAAAGGGGCCACACTCTTTGCATGTGACCTGCAGGTCAGCTATCTGGTTGCAGCCCAGAATATCACCAGCCATGAATATACATAATATGAAAGATTGATTTGGTGCAGCCTCTTCTTCTTGCTGCCAGTTGTTTTCCAGTAATCATGCAGAAAATTGCAACTGAAAATGCAGCCCAAAAATACATGTTGTCATAGGCTACAGTTACAATTGGTAGATTTTACTCTGGGTTATGAATTGCTTATCTATGGAGGTTTCATATTTGCAAAATCTCACTTGCACTTCCAAACGTGGATTCTCATTCGTACATTCATGATAGTGTTTATATTGTTACTGTGTAGTATTGCAATCATAGTCCTGAATTTATTCCCTCTCATCTAAAATCTTTCTCACCTGTAAGTTATTGTACTAATTCAGACAAAAGCCAAGTGAACCAGTTTTTATTGGGGAGCTTTTTACGACCACAACTCATATTACTACTTACAGTTCCCAGGACCTTTTTAAATGTGCGTTTGCTACTCTCCATGCAACAGTTTTTCTTGACAATTCAGTCTATTTAGAAAAAATAGAGACTAGGGATGTCCTGAACAAGTTTTTTTGCCATTTGATATTTGGTATCTGCTGATACCGACCCTCAGTCTGATACCATTTTCATCGATAATACATACTTCAAACACATCAGTGTTATTAAAATCAATCCAGGTGCAAATGCTTGACAACTAGATAGCTCTGCAGTGCATCAGGAAGAAAACTGCATTGCTGCGTCCAAGCTGTTCCTTAAAATATGTAGGTAGTCACAGACCTTGTTGTAAAGCTCTGGTCTGGATCTGCTGTGGAGAGGGCAGGGTGTACAGTGGCTTCACAAGCTCCCAAAAACTACAAAAACCTGTATTTTCTACATGCATGTCAGAATCTGCACTGTCGATTATCTGTAGTACCTGTTTGTGCCACCAGGTGGAGCCACTTACTGTTAATGCTCAAGCAATCAGAAGCGGTCTTCACTTGGTCTATGGAGCTGTTCCATGCTGCATTGTTGGGGTTTAGCAAGCAGCAGGCCACCATGACAAAGACTTCTGAGACGCCTAATGTTGTCCGGCTAGAGCTCATGTGTTTAAGACGCGCTGGCATCAACAAGAACAAAGTTTCTCTGTCACAGGGGCATATTTAGGTCACGTATCTGTTGACTAAATCAGCAATATAAGCACAGAACAATCATCCACTGTGCTCAATTTATTTTTTACGTTTTAATTGAGTGTAGATTCTGGTGATTATTGATCCAAATTTGCATGCCTAGCAACCTGCCAGAAATTTTGCTCTCCCTTTACAACACCTGTGTGACAGCAGACATAAACAAAGGATTAGGCTTGTACAGTTACCTATCAGTTAAAAAATGCTTTCATCAGCCCTGATCCTGATGTTTGAGGTCAGATAATGACATCCCTAATAGAGATCTAAAGGATTAGCACTGGTAATTCACAATATTAAACGTAACAGAAGCAAGTGGACGGCTTGAAACATAAATGTAGTTAAAATCCTCCATCCAGGTTTCATTACACTTCATCAGACAGTATAAAAACTGGGAACAATCCGCAGTTCTAACACGTTTTCTTCTTGCCACCATTACTTAAACACTTTCTAATTTACACTCCTACTTCAACATTTGCATATGTGTCCTTGGCAAAAATATAAAAGCAGTAGGATTTGGGTTGCTTTGCTCAAGCATGTTTCAACTTTCTGTTAGTTTATCTTCCTACACTGAAATGAACAGAAACAGTGGATGTCATGCAGGCATAAAGTATACAGATATAAGATAACACTGTTATGAATTCCCGAAATTTTATGCCCTACTTATCGTATCCAAGAAAAAAAGGCAGTCATAACAATATTTTTTTGTTTCCACGTTCCTGTGCTGCACTCACATTTTCCCCCAATTTAAAGTCACGAATTGTATATTTTGTCTCTTTCGTCTTCAGCAAACCAGCTCGGGGGAGGAAAGGCTGAGGATGTGTGTCGCGGTGAAGAAGAAACTCCAGCTGTATTATTGGAAGGATAGAGAGTTCCACGAGCTGCAGGTAGAATTAAACTGTGTATGAGGTGTGACTCACTGCAGCGTGATTCAAGATTAAAGCAGTTTTCCAAACCCTTGACACATTTAGCCGTATTAATGTTTTCTTTTCTGTCTGTCAGGGGGACTTTGGCGCACCAGACATTCCAAAGTCCATGGCCTGGTGTGAAAACTCCATATGTGTCGGTTTCAAACGAGACTATTACCTCATCAGGGTACGTGTTACAGAACAGGACTGCTCAAAACTTTTTTTTTTTTTTTTAAGTTTTTAATTTATAATGAAACTCTGTCTTTTGAGAAACTCCTTCCTTGTAGACTTGCAATGAGACTGTTAAAGTTTTGCAGTGTATTCCCCAGTGGGAAAGAAAGGCATAACTTGGATTCACGGCAGTTAAAATGTATTCCAACAATGACAGGTTTTTCAGGGATGTATTGAAACATCGGTAGAAGTCACCGCTGCTGCATAATTCATGCGTCTGTTGTTCATCTGTATGCTCAGTTTGTTCTAAACTGTCATGTTTTCCAAAAACTTGCTTAAAAAATGCACTGCGAGTCTCCTCCATTTCCTCGGCAACCTTGTCAAGTCCGACTCTGTTGTGACGAGACCGGCTCGAGTCTTTTGTACTTTGCAGAACAAACATTTTTCAGGTGGTTTTTCGAGTGTTTCATAGACAGACGTTGGAAGGACAATCACCTGAAAATGATCTGTAGAGGCAGACGGTTGTGTAATGACTTCCTGTCTGTGCTGCTGTCCTTGAGTTTGTGTTTATTTTTGTCTTTTTCCTTTGCACTTCTTCCTGGTATTATTAGCACATTATCAGCTATGTCTGGTAGCCTGTTGCTAATCCAGTTAGCTTTTCCTCAATAGGGATTTATTGTCTGTGTAAAACATTTAATAACTAACCTTAATGATAATGCTTGGTTATTATTAACCCTCTGAACCCAAAGCAGTATCTGGGCGTGTTTTGCTTTATCGCATTTTAGTCACTGTTGGCACATTTTTCATTTTAATATAAAGTCCTGCACCTCTGTAGAAGCAGCACAACTATGGCTAGAGGTAGAGAAAGCTGAAAATTGTCTTCTGTGTCGTATAACAGATTTCTAAAGCTATTATTCATAAAAAAAAGAAAATTACAATTGAAGAAGACGGAAAGCAACATGCGCAGCTTTTGTCAAATGCCCACATTTGTTTAACCAATGCTGGGGAAAAAAAAGGGCTCCACCTGCTTTCGATAGGTTATCTAAGAAAGCAGTTTTCCATTTTTGAAACTTGTATAAGTTTGGTGTTCAGCACAATACTTTGCATGTTAAATCAAAAAAGAGATTTCACCATGCAGAATGTAACTTCCAACAACTTGCTTCACCGTATACAGTTTTTGGAGCCACTTTTATCGATAAAGTTTCCTCTCAGTTTCTCTTGTTGTCTCATCTCAGTTCAACCAAAAAGTCACTGATTTTTTTGTTGCATGACTGCTGGTTGCAGTTCAGTGAGTTCTGACTTTACAGTTGCTCCAAATTGTGCAGCTTTTTTTGTTTTTCACACAAGAGTTTTTTTTTTTTTTTTTTAAACTGCATTCCGTTTACCATTTAGAGAATCTAGTGCAAACAGTTTATTTCTGCCAAATTTCTGAACGAGGCATACGAAATGTAGAAGTGATTTTGATGACATCTCACAATTTTAAGATTAGATTTGGTTATTTATTCCACAGAACCGCACGCCACACATAATATGAAGTGATTCTTTGTGCTTTTACAGCTTCTAAAAAAAGAGAACACGCCTTTCAAACCCGCTGGCAGGTTTTTAGGGTTCAGAGGGTTTAAAGATTCTGAATATCGTGACTCACACGCTCTGTCTTGTCAACTAGATGGATGGCCGTGGCTCCATCAAGGAACTTTTCCCAACTGGGAAACAGTTAGAGCCTCTGGTTGCCCCACTGGCTGATGGGAAGGTGGCTGTTGGGCAGGATGACCTAACCGTGGTGCTCAACGAAGAGGGCGTCTGCACCCAGAAGTGTGCCCTGAACTGGACAGATATCCCCATCGCCATGGGTAAGAAAAAGACACAAAGGCTGCCAAGGCTTCTCTCTGCTTCTACACAGTTATCTTTAGCTGTGGGTTTATTTTTAACTTGTGAACAGAAAATCTTAGTTGCTGTTATGTATTCGCTCACATATAAAAAAATAAAAAATCCCTACTTCAAGCGCTTTCCAAGTCGTTTTTTTTTTTTTTTTTTGGTGACGCTACAGTTAACTCGGTATCAATAGGAACTGACAGCAAAGTCAAAAGGACACAGAGATACTGAGCAACAAGAGCCAGAAACCCTCCCTCAGCTCTCTACGTGGGCTCGTCTTCCAGATAGCACGGAAGGTGTTTTGCCAAAATGTGTCACCTCTGGTTGTTGCTTCCACCCAGGGAAAGAAACAGAATCTGCTTTGTTTCTTTGTTGGGCTTGAATTTCACACTTTGTAAACAATAAACATCAAAATCTTCACAGATTTGCAGAAACTGAAGGCAGCTGCTTTGGTCACATTTCAGCAACACACGCTGTATTTTGTTAGTTTTTGTTGGTTTCACTGAAGACGTTGTTTGCTATGAATCTGACCGCTTAACATTAACAAGCTCGCCTGTTATAATCACAACTGCCAAGAGAGGATAAAAAAAAAAAACCTCAGCAGACCAAACAAGAAAACACCACAAAAGGGAAACAGGTTTTCAGCAGTTTGACACATCGAGGATGACGGTTTGCATAAACTTTACCTTACTCCAGCTTATGTGCAGGTTTTCGTTTTGCATTTTAAAGCATCATTAAAATATCATCTGGAATTGTTTCAGCTCAAACATGAGAATTATTCTGTTCCCTTTCTTGTACTCTTTCAAATAAATGTTTCTGCACCTGTCTTTTGCTGTATGAAGTTCTCAGAATGTCTGTTTTTATTTAACTCGGAGCGCTTAGGAAATGCTTGCCAAGAACGGTACAGTTTATTCTCTTCTTGTACTGATTGGGAAGGTTTGCTCGCATAACTGTAATTGTATATTAACCAAACACCAGATGATGCATTTGGCCTAAACACTGCCATTGTTCCGTCATCCAGCTGCTGTGTCTCTTCTCTCTCTTTTTTTTTTCTTTTCTTTCCTGATCTTTCCTTCCCTTGTGCAAAGTCTTTCTTTCCTCCCCGTCTGAGCTGTGACACTGTTTCCCACATGTCAGGAGACAAAAGTCAGTTTTAGATCGACTTTTTGCATCCCGTGACTAAGACTTACTGAAGAACATTGTGATGCAGATGAGCTCTCGCGTTGTTTTGAAGGCTCATTGATATTCAGAAAGGAGCAATACAAAGGGGAAATGAAGCCTCCGAGCTGTGGTTTCGTGCAGTTTGCAATTTCCTCATTTCGATATAGTCGACATTGTGGCTTTGGTGTGCATCAGAGCTGAATGGAGGATAAGAGCCGGTCAGTTTAGAGTATTTCTCGACGATCGTCTCATCTGTCCCATAACCCACCGATAGCTCGACTAAATGGCTGTCTCTAGCTGGATTTCCTGCTCCGTAGCCTCAAAAAGACTTTAAACTTGAATCACAGAGGCACAGATTGCATATATAATAGATGTTGGATGGACATCGAAACCTCAATGTCTGATCAAACTAGGAAAAACACATGTTTTTCTGTTAGAACCTAAAGAATCACGCTTTTTGCATTGGTTGCTGACTTGGCACATTTTTTAACCACACCTTTGGCACAATAGCACATCATAAGCATAACCTTTTTTTTATTAGTTCCCATACACATTAGTAGTTTCTTAACAGATTAAGATGCAGATCAATATTTTGCTCTTTTTTTCTCTTAAAGTTAGTTAGTACTTTGGCTACATCTCATAACCAGTGGAAAATGTTATAATTTCTGACTCCTCACTGCTTCGGTTTTCTGCTGCCTGGTGCTAACATCTAAATGTCAAAGCTCCAACAGCAAAGCCGTGTTTTGTCTGCACTCTTTGCAATTCATGCAATGCATAATGTTGGCCATTTTTATTCTGAGTTAGTTTTTCACAGTGGTTGAGAATTTCCTTGCAGCATCAGGTAGAACAGCGTTGTAACCCTGGTTGTTTTCTAAAGCGACAGTTTACATTAACACCTCACATGCAGATTGTCGGTAGATGCTACAATTTACTGATGTTTCCTTAAAGTCTCACATACGTCAGTAGATGCTACTAGACGGCGAAAAGCCTCCAATCCCACTCGGATATTGCCGTGCATGCAATTAAGACAGATGAGTGGCCAGAAATGAGCCTGAAAAGTGTGAAGTAAGATCTTCTCATGGTAGATGAACAAAGCTAAAACAAAGTGATTTTTTTTTTGTACCTGGTTGAGCCACCCAGAGACATTACAGGTGACAGATTTTTTTGTTTGTTTCATTCTGGAGCCCTGAAAAGCAGCACATGCCAGCAGTGGTAGACATGTTTAGATACTGTCACCCAGTGATTTCTCTGTAATCCCCCACACACATTCAAACCAACTGCAACATGCCAATCACCAAATTGCGGTGATAGGCATTTGTCTTCTTTTCGCTGGCATTGATTCATGTCAAATCTTCAGAAAAATGTATTTCATCCAAATGGGCACACAATGTCCGTTGTACTTTTACTGCTTCTTCTGTTTCTATTCAGTACATCTTCCTACACAGACGTCCCCTATTATGGAGCGACCACTTTGCGTTGAGTGAAATTGTGAGAAAAAAGTCATAATTCTGCATAAATGCTGCATACATAGCTCATTTCATGTGTTTTTTTTCTGTCCAACAACATTTTTTGCCTCATATCTTCAAAAAAGTCGAACCATTTGAATGGATTTTGTCTCCGTATGTGAACACAGTAACAGGGTGGTTTGCAGAATATGTGACTGTGCTGTGGTCACTTTTGTTTTGGTTTGATTTGCAAATGAACTTAGCTCTGACCTGTGCCACTCTTTTCTGAATTATCCTCAGAGCACCAGCCTCCCTACATCATTGCGGTTCTTCCTCGGTACGTGGAGATCCGGACCTTTGAGCCGAGGTTGCTGGTGCAGAGCGTGGAGCTGCAGCGACCGCGATTCATCTCCTCAGCAGGGTGAGGCAGGCGGACCTCCGTGAAGCTTAGTTATCTCTTAAACAAACCATTATCTGTGTAAGACTCTCCGTTAGTGTGATCCGTTATCTTTAGATTAGAAAATCTATTCTGATCAGATGCCGACAAGAACAGATTAGAGCTGCATCAATCATTCAATTAAGCAATTAGCTGTCGACTATTAAACTAATTGGCAACTGTTTTGATAATTGATTTGTCAGTTTAAGGATTTTTTTTTTAAAGGAAAAAAGTTTTACATTTTCTGATTATAACTTCTTAATTTTGAGTATTTATCTTTGGATTGTAGAATGTGACATCTTGGGTTCTGGGAAGCGATGATCGGCATCTTTTTTTTAAACTTTTATAGACACAGCAACTACTTGATTAACCAAGAAAATAATCACCAGATTAACTGGCAATGAAAAGAATTGTTAGTTGCAGCCCTTCAACAGATCTCATTGACTTAACTTGGCATTGTTGTGCCTCTGGAAAGATTTTTGTGTAGAATTCAAATGTTTAATTATAAAGACATGCAAAGAATGTCGCAAAGATTTATGATGAGTTGTAAGTTAGCATTCGTAAGAGTAACCGTATACTATCTCACACCAACCTGCTGTAAAGGAAGCTTCTTGTTTTGATGTGATGTTGGTTTTGTGTTATAATATATATATTTTTTATGACAAGGAAAAATATGCTGTTAAATAAAGAAATGTTTATTCTAAAAGTGTATCAATATTTTACTTAGCATCAATAAAAACTGAAACATGAAATATGTCTTTGTAATGTTAAAAAGATACATTTAGAATGAGAAAAATGAGAAACTGTGTGGTGGCAGCTCTGCCCATTTGAAACTGCAGTATCTGATGTGAAAAAGCTGCAGTGTTGGCAGGTCTGATAATGAATGTTAGACTTTTTTTTTTTGTTCCCACTCTGGTTCCTTTAGAGAAAATCATGCATCATTTGTTGCTTTCATCAGTTTCCATTTCTCATGACACTGGTGCTGATAATGTAGAGCCATCCTCAGAAAGAAAACCCTTTTGTTTCCAACCTATTATCTCTAATCTTGTTGTGTCCTCTTATCTTTCGCAGGCCAAATATTGTGTACGTCGCCAGCAACCACTTTGTGTGGCGCCTGGTGCCGGTGTCGATAGCCAGCCAGATCCGGCAGCTTCTTCAGGACAAGCAGTTTGAACTGGCTCTTCAGCTGGCGGTGAGCTGCACAACCACTCGCCTCACTGTCAGACCTTGTGATTAAATTCTCGAGGATTAAATTTGTGCTTTAGCTCGGAGGGTGGCTCATTAAAATCACTTATCTTGATTAGAAGCAGCATGTTGAAACAGTAAAACCCTCAACTTTGTACTTTATGGTCACTATATCCGGTGTTCTGGCCATCCAGGAGCATTTCCAAAGCCGTTCATGTTGTCTCAGAATCCAGTGTTTTCATAAGCAAACTAGAGACATGTTGCCATAGCGTGATGAATTTTTGTGGGTTTCTTTTTTTTTTTTTTTTCTTTTTTTCCTGCCAGAAGATGAAGGATGATTCAGATGGTGATAAGAAGCAACAGATACATCACATCCAGAATCTCTATGCCTTCAATCTGTTTTGCCAGAAGAGATTCGATGACTCCATGCAGGTGTTTGCCAAACTTGGAACAGGTAGGACATGATTTCTGCTGCTGCTCAAGCTGCACCTGGACAAAGGACTTGACAAGTTCCCATACCTTAGGCATCTTGAAGATGTTTTCCATCTAATCCATTTGGATCAGAGATGTGCTTTGTTTCTTTTCTCAAACTCATCAGACATCTGTTGCTTATTGTTTATATTGATGGAAAACTTGCGTACACATTTGATTATCGCATGTAGTGATGTCACATCTCCCCTATGAAGGCAGATTTTCCTTCCTCTAGTGAGCTCTGGATTTTAGCTTTTGGATCATGTATGTTGTGGTAATTAGTTGTGTCTGTATTGAAAACTCTGTCCTCAGAATCACATTTTCCTTTGATCAAACTCAGAGGATTAAACATGGAGTAAATTCTTTACAACTTTCCCGTCCTGTGTTCTGCAGATCCCACACATGTGATTGGACTCTACCCAGACCTGCTCCCATCAGACTATCGCAAACAGCTGCACTACCCGAACCCTCTGCCCACTTTGTCTGGGGCAGAGCTGGAAAAGGCTCACCTCGCTCTTATCGATTACCTCACCCAGGTGTGTTTGTGTACAACGTCTATACAACACAGAGAAAAACAGGAAATTCTACAGATGTTGTACAGTTTGGTAGAGCTGGAAGTGAGGCTCTACACATGAGCTGTAATCAGGAAGTTCTGATACTGTGCTCATAGAAAACAAACCTTTTAAACTAGTTGTGTTCAGTGAGATTTGTTGAAGAAGTCTGTTCAAGCAATAATAAATGATGGCTGAAAGAGTGTCTCTAGAAATTATCTGATTGCTAAAGTTGCATTTAAAATCTGGATAAAATAGCAACAGGACACGTTTTTCTTTGTCGTGGATAGTTTGCAAATAAGGGTGATTCCTATAGCTTTATCATAGGCTTTACCATCATATGTCTGGTGATGTGGGAATGTAAAATAACATCAGGATTAAAGTTTTTAGATATTGTGATGTGGGAATGTAAAATAACATCGGGATTAAAGTTTTTAGACATTGTGGTCAGTATGATCAATCACCCACCTTTAGGCTAGACGGAGGCTGATGACTGGTAAAGTCTGTTAGATGCTTTGGACAAAGGTTCAAAGTAAAGAAACACATCTAAGAAGTGCAAGTCGAGACGTTTAAAGGCTGTGCCCATTAAAAGCAAAAACCATAACTGATTGGCTGCCATTGTCTTCAAAGTAGTGACCCTGTGCAGTGATACACTGCTCCCAGCCACATTTAGTGTGCTCACTGGAAGTTCTGTAAGTGTGTCTAGATCTACCACTAGAGATCCAGTGCAGTGATTGATTGTTCAACTTGGATCTGGCGAGTAGCACAGATCAGGAGGGATGGTTGTGTTGGTGCAGCCAAAAAACGTGTGTTTTTAACATACTGTAGTGTGCATCAGCTCATGACACAGCACAGGCCATTCGCACTGAATGTTCTCCCTCAGACTCCTCAGGATATTAAAGTAGAACATTATGTTAACAATCTGAACCTTGAATGTCTGAACGTCAAACAACACAACGAACATGCTCTTGGATTAGCTGTTGACCATTCTTAGTCTTACTTTCCCACTAAAGACAGCTGCTTGCAGCCTGGGCTCTAGCTATAGACCTCTTATTACTAATAATCATCTTTGACCTGAGGGTTGACACTCAATTTAGTGCTTGCTCTCTACACAAGCTCCATGGCGATACCACACTTCTACCTGTAAATGTTAAGAACTGGCCTCCAGAGAGGGCTTCAAATGCAGCAGGAGCACCAGGAGCTGTGTTCACGAGGTGTCTACTTTTAAGGGGATTACTCCTAAACTGAAATTAATTTTCAGAACTTTTTGATTGCACCTCGTAAACTATCAAAGCCTTAAAGGTCGTAGTATAATAATTTAAAAATTGAATTACATGCTTTTTCTTTGATGTTCTCACAGAAACGAAGCCACCTTGTGAAACAGCTGAACGACTCTGACCCTTCTACAACGTCTCCACTCATGGAGGGCACGCCGACCATCAAAAGCCGCAAAAAACTGCTGCAGATCATTGATACCACCTTGCTGAAATGTTACCTGCACGTAAGACCACAGTTTTATTTTTTCATGCTTTTACTTTAACCATATTCACTCCTACAGCGTACAGTGTTGTTTTATTTTAGTTGTAAGTAAATGCATAGTTAAAACGTCTTTTCTGTTTTTAGCTTAAGCTCTGTATTGGTCTTTTTTTTTTCGCGATGTGTCCTCATTTCGCCACACTGCATTTGAATGGATGTGCACAGAATGTTTAGATTAAACACAGGCTAATAGTGCATTGGGCAGGCCACAGATATGTCATACTTTTTGATTCACAACCAAACTGTTATTATCAGCAAATCCAATCCAGATGTTTATATTTCATGATACAAGTTATATCACCTCTTACAAACTTGGCAGCCTTCTCCATCCACTTATAGCAAAGTGAAATGATTTCATAAGCCAGTGGTTCCGAACAAGTATAAAAACTGGCAGTAGCATTAGGCAGCTAACGGAGCCCCACATGTAGCCAGAAGGGTCCTGCGTTAAACAGATCATTGGCAGATTTACTTGGACGCATCAAAAACTGAGTCACAGCAAAGCACAGCGTTAGTCTGACCGTCGTTCAGTACTGTGGGTCTGGTGTGTTGATTCAAGTCGATACCTGGGCAACAAAGCAAAACTTATGATTTGCCAGGCAATCTGTGTGTCAGCCCTCATCTGTGGACGAATGGTGACTCGTGTTGGAACGAGGGCTGAGATCACAGATGTAAGCAGCCAAAGTAAGTTTCTCCACAGATTGGTTCAGGTCTGCATGAAGACCGAAGGAGTCTGGATGCACCCCAGTATTTTATAAAGATGGGATTTTTTTCTCCTTTGTTCCCACAAAAAAGTCTCTGTCCCCATGACAATGCAAAACTAAAAGTGAAGCCATGTCAAGAGTGTGCCAAAAGAGTGATATAACCATAACCCTAAAACCATGTTAGCCAATCAGAAGCCTGATAAAAGCTATAGCTCGTTCCAGGAGGCTGCTAACATTGGCACATTGAGCAAGGGGGGGGGGGCATATATATTAACTGCATCCTATGCGTCTGCTCCTCACTATACTGAAAGAACAACTAAAAACTCCTGACAAGGTTAACACTGGCACAATTTTGGCTCCGACAAAACCACCTCATCAAAACAATAGAGAGGACGCCACATACTCATGCTGCTCCAAGGGAAGGAGTTTAAGTATCTCGAGGTCTTGTTCACAAGTGACCAGAAAGTGGAATGTGAGGTGGATTGGTGTAGTGTCAGCTGCGTTGTGGACATTTTACTGGACTGTGGAGGTGAAGAGAGAGGTCAGCTGGAAGAAGACGCTCTCGATTTACCACTTGGTCTTTGTTCCAATTAGGGAGGTCCTGACCGAGTTTGTTTGCCGCAGATACGATCTATTTAATATTTGGTATCTGCTAATACCTGACACCCAATTTCCTAGAAGTTAAACACTTAAAAGTATTGTAGATTAGTTGTAGTACCTGGTTGTACCACCAGGGGTACCAGTCTCTTACTGTTTAATACTGTAGCAATCAGAGAAGAAGGGAAATTCTTTTGGGGGTTTAGCTAGTAAAGGGGAACCATGACAAAGTCGTCTGCGATGTTTAATGACCTGCGTCCAGTGCACGTTAAATCCAGCCAGGATCCCCTGGCATAGCATTTCTATATGTCAGTGTCATATGTAACAGCTGCCTTTGTCTCCTGTATCATGTGTTTGTGGCTTAAAGCAGTATCATGAGAACAGAATTTAATTAAAGTCTTCAAGGATCCAACATAGGTTCGTGCCGCCACCATCTGATACTAAGACATACCTAGTTCCAACACGAGCGGCCAAAAACGGGTTTCTCTATAGGATGTCTGGGCACAGTCTTGGAGATGTGGTTATGATCTTGAACATCCCGAGAGAGCTCAGAGTAGAGTCGCTGCTCCTTGGCATCAAAAGTATTCAGCTGAAGGGGTTCAGGCATCACATTACGATGTTCCCGAGCACATTTAACTTAGAGGAGACCCAGTGATAGCCTTAGCACTCACTGGAGAGATTACATATCTCATATGGCCTGGGAACACCTCAGGATCCCACAGGAGGAGCTGGAACATGTTGCTGGTGAGAGGGACGTCTTTAATTCGCTGCTTAGCGCAAATCGACTCTGGATGAGCAGAAGAAAATTGATCCTTGGGTCGACTATGAAACCACAAGCCTAAAGCTCATTACTGTCTGTCTACATGTCAAACTGAGTTTCTGAACATTCTCAGACAGCTCAGTTTATAGTCTCCTAAAGCTGCATTTGGACAAAAGGCCCAAAAGCATAAAAAAAGGTTGTGTTTTAAAAAAATACACATGTACATGTGTTTTTTTTTTTTGATTCTCCTTCTGAAGGTTTGGGCATCCAGAAAATACCACCAGGTGTTTTTCTTTTGAACGGTAGCGTAATGGACGCTTTCTAATCAGAGAAACAACAAATCCAGATCACATGGCAAGCTTCAAGCAACTGGAGATCCTCTAACATAGTGTGTGCTTTGAAATGCTAAGAGTCTGCACTGGGTTATTTAAATAGTAAACACACTGTGGAGCGGAGAGCATGGACTAATTAATGAAGTTAAGTGCCTGTGTGATTTTGTGCGAAACGACTATAAACGATTGTTCGTATCATGTTGTGTAATTTGCGTTTGTCCTCTCCTCGATCAGACCAACGTGGCCCTCGTGTCCCCCCTCCTTCGCCTGGAGAACAACCACTGCCACATCGAGGAGAGCGAATACGTCCTGAAGAAGGCTCACAAGTACAGCGAGCTCATTATTCTCTATGAAAAGAAGGGCCTGCACCAGAAAGGTAAGGGTCAGGCTGCTGGTCAATCTACTGCATAAAGCCTCATCATCATCATCATGTCACAAGGTTTTATGCCGCATTTAATCATAAAATCTTCCATCTCATCTGCAGAGAAGAGCTTCATTTCATTATAGTGAAAAGTGTGAGGCAGTTTTTTTTTTTTTTTAGATTTCACTGTTGCATTATTACATCTTGAGCTACAGTTAAGATTTCTTTTTTAGCAGCAGTGTGAGATTTCCTCATTTGCTGTTCGTTCCTATTCAAAATCTTTAAAGCATTATCTTTTACACAAACTAAGAGAGCAATCAGCCCTTTTTCAAGAGGAAAACCTATTTATAATGTGTCTCAAAAACACTAGGTTGCCAGGTTGTTGGTTGTGTGTTTGTTCTGAGCTGAACAGATTGAATTCCATTTGATTATGCGTGATTTGGGGCGTAATAATTCATTTGGAACGGCGGGGATTTATACACTTCCTTCAGCTGTTCTTCTGGAAAACTGGCAGATATCTCTGTCTTGAGTTCAAGGGCAAGTTCAAATGTGCTTTTTCTTTTCTTTTCTTTTTTTTTTTTGCAAGAATGACTGATAGCCGTTGTTACATAAGCGAGCAGAGCATACATTAAACAAACATGAGTGAAGTTACAGTTGTGGTTAGAAGCAGTGTACGTACCGTACCGTGGCTTTAGGGGGAGCTCACTTTCTTTACTTTTTCATGGTCAGAAACAACAGATACAACATTTACAAAGCAGTTTTTAATTGATCATTATTCCTTTTTTAATAACAATATGAATTCAGACAAGCTCCTAAGTTTGGTTTTATGGCAGCTCGCATGAAAAGAAGTTTCTTATTTTCTGATCTTTGAGTTAAAGTGAGTGAAGTTTATAATGCTTCGCTGCCACGCTGCGATGGTGATGGCAAGAGCAGCATGGATCCGATATCTTTAGTGAATTAGTGATGAACCGCCCTCGTTCATGAATCATTCATCAATAATAGCCTGATTTGCCAATGTTGAAGAAGATGCAGAAAAATAGAATTCCGTGGAAAAATAGCACACTGTTGAAATTCTAGAGACCTCCCAAAGTTTCCCAAAATTTCAGGGGACCTCATGTCGTCTTAAGAGGAGCCAAATTTCCTTTTAGCTCCTCTGTACTTAGAAGTTTACTCACTCGTCAAAGGCATAAATGTTAAGGCAATATTAGGCTTTCATAAACTTCTTTGAACTGTTGTTTTCTTGGGGCAGGATAATTACACAGCGTACATCTTTATTTGTAAAATAATTTAGTGCACAAACAATTGCACGAGGTCTTGTTAAAGCGGCGACACCTCCCAGTGACTTGATATTAACATCAAATTGTTTTTACTAATGATCCGGCCATTTAAATCTAAGAATCTGTCTCAGATCAGCACTGAACTCCTTTGATTTTCCCATCGCACTCTGTGTTGATCAGTCCAAAAAGTGCTGCCAAACAAACCCTTTTTTTTAAAAGAATGTTTGCACAGAGAAGCTACCAGCTGTAGTCGATCGTGACCGCTCACAGCATGTTAAGAGGCCTCGGCAACTTAATCGACGTTTTGGAACTTTGAGCATCACTGCATTAATAATCTAAGTGGGCGTCTTTATAATTCTGACCCTGTATGTATATTTTTGACCCTGTGTTCATTTTTGAAAACCTGAAATACATGAAAATTTGAACAAAATCTTTCAGTTTCCTACTTATGAAAGATGTCTTTTGTGTTGACTTGCTGCCCTGAAAGCAGAACAGTTCGAAGGAATCAGTCAAACCTTAATCATGCCTTTGGATTCAAGTGTATTTAAGCTTTCGATCACAACTGTACATAAATTAGTCAAATGGAAAGTATGTTCTATATATGCTGGATTTCTAGAGTCTACTATAAATCAGTCCCATCCAGACGCATGAACATGCACCATAAGATGTTTCAGGAAGAAATAAAAATCAGCAGCAGCTTCAGTCTGAGCCTCATTAGTTATCACCATGATGTTTCCTGAGTTGGAGTAAGTTTATCTGTAAGAAAAAGCTGAAATGCTATTGAGATTTTCCCAGAAATTTTAATCTAATAGCTGACGCTTTCTCCCCAAAGTATTAGGAGTAGAATGGCTTTTTAAAAATCTAACAAATTCTTAGAATGTTTTTAAATCAAGAGCCAAAACTTGTTCACCTTTCGGTGTTTGAAGTAATCTATGAGGGAATGATAATGTCTAAAACTTTCTTTATGTTGCACCTTTTGACAACAAACTTTCAAGTTCTGCACAAAGTAGAAAAATTACAATACAGAGGATAAAATCAAGCGGGCAAAATATATAAAAAGGCAAAATATTATAACCACAATGCAAAGTCTTACAAACAAAGTTGACCGACATTGTAGAATATATAAAGAACACAGCAAGGCATGAAAACAGAAGCTAAAGCGACTACAATAAAAGCAAATAGGAGAAGGTTTCCAGGAATGTTTTTAAAGAAGACACTGACAGTCTGAGATCCCTTGAGATGGATTTTTATAACTAGTAAAATCTAAAAATCAATTCTGAAGCCAGCTGGTAACCAGTGGAGACCAGCAACCAGCTAACAGCCTCCTCACTTAACTGGAACCTTTGAAGGCTTCTGCCACTAAAACCGAAATAAAGTGTGTTACAGTGATCGAGTTTGGAGGTGATAAATGCAAGAATATCCTCTTTTTTTTATGTTTGAAAAAGATCTGACTTTCATGATGAACCTAAGCTGAATGAAACAAGATTGTACAGTTTTTGTCTCCTGAGCATTAAAGAAGAGACACGAGAAAACTCAAACCGCTGTCAATGCAAATACTGGATAAGTTCTGCTCTCTTTTATAAAGAAAGGTCACGTCTTCGTACTAGTCTGCTGTGTTTAATTAATGTTCAGCAAAAAGATATATTCCTGTGGAAAAAAAATATCTTTAAATTACAGCTTTTAAAAGAGAGCACGAGTTGCTCTGCTTTGAAATTTCCTCTGAGACGAGTGCTTATTTGAACGGGGGATTTAATCATCAAGCAGCAGACGGCAGATGTGTCACCCAGCTGTATAATGACTGATATCACAGTTCAAGTTATTTGTCGGAGCGTGATTCAGCCTCAGCTTGATAACTGCATAACAATGAAGCGCAGTGACACATTTGCTCCCAATTGGATGCTGAATTTGGGGTTCGGTATTTTAGATGTCACATCACTTGATGAGACCTACTTCTGCCTTTTGTCAGCTGCCTCTTCATTGCCTCAAATACAAGAGCGATTGGAAGCTGAGCTGTGTTGTTTCGTTCTGTTCAATAGATCCCAGTTACGTGCTTGTATCAAAGCTGCGTTGTGGGGCAGCTCTGTGAGGCTCCACGGTTTATCTCTGAGGAGGTTTTCCTGCATGTGGTCGACTCATCATCGTCGTAAATCAGAGCCGTCGTAATGCTTTTTGTTTCTGGCCGTGTTCTGCGGCACTTTCTGGGCCACTCTCGCTGCGAGCGCGGCTGGATTTAATTGGCTTTGCTGAAATTTGTGCCTGTGATGTCATCCCGCTGAAGTCCACCTCGCTCTGCCAACTCAAAGCAGCTGTTCCCAGCCGCCAATTAACGCTACGCCTCGTCCAGATCCGCGTTGACGGCGGAGTTATGTAACGCAGTGTACACCAGAGCAGATGACATCTTTTGCTGCTTTCCATCCCTAAAACTAATTTGTTCTTGCCTCCTTTCACCCCGTTTGCCCTCTCACAGCTCTGCAGGTGCTGCTCGATCAGTCCACCAAGGCCAACTCTCCACTGAAGGGCCACGAGCGAACAGTGCAGTACCTCCAGAGACTGGGTAAGAATTAGCAGCCAGCCTGTTTCAACTCAGGGTGTCATCATCTCGATAGATATGTTAAATGTGTCGGGGTGGTTTCGGGAAAAGCCTCTGAGGAACCTTTCACTCTGATTGATTGTGGATGTTGGATGAATATGTGCATTCAGTCACATGCCATTGTCTGTAGCCTTTGGTTTGTCTGGCACTGACTAAATGTGAGGGTTTAGTATTCACCGTGTGTCTCTGTTAACCTTCTGAACCCCAAAACCTGCCAGTGGGTTGGAAAGGCCTGCTGTTCTTGAAAAATCGCTAAAATTGCGCCATTTATCAGAACCAGAAACGTAAAAAACAGAGAGAACTGTCTAATGTTCCACTTTCAGAGGTTTCTTGATGTACTCATGCTGTATGTGATGTCCAGTTCTGTCAGAACACTCAACCAAATCCAAGCTTTGGGATATTTTTATCAAAGTCCTTAATTCTATATGCCATTCCATAGCAAAATAAAATGAACTAAGTTAACTGTTTGCAACAAATTCTGTGAAGAACAAAATGTCCCAGCCATCGTTGTGCGGTTTCCATGGAGGTGCAAGACTTGATATTGTATGAAAAAATGAGCCCACAGCGAGTAAAAATGTGACGGAAGCCAAAATTGTCCAAACACTGCTTGGGCTTCAGAGGATTCATCTACGTCGTTGTACCAGTGATGTCAAGATAAATACCCGGTGCTCAGCGGTTGAAGTTGCTTTGTTTGTTTTTGTGAAATGTATTTTCTTCAAATTAATTCTGATTCTGTTGTATAATGACTAATTACAGGTCATAAATGTTCTTTTGGCTTTACAATAAAGATTTAGTTTTCTTTTTCCCCATCACCTTCCCAATTGTGCTTGAAGGTGCTGCATGTGGCATTCAGTTGTTCTGAATGTTGCACAGCGTCTCGGGTCAAAAGAAAAGTTTGTGCAAATGAGAGCCAACAAAAATAACTCAAACACAACTATCAGCCAACGCTAGCATTGTAAAATACAATCACAAAGATCGTAGCAGACACTATAGAAGCCTGCAGTTTCAATGGGAGGGCCTCACATGCATTAGTATGCATGAACGTGCACGTGCTGCCTGAGCGGCTGCCAAAACACAGAAACTTGAATTAAGGAGGTATAATTTCATCGCTGCTAAGAACCTCATTACTTCAGATTGTTGTTTGATTCCAAAATTATGCTATAATTCTGATTTTTTTTTAACAATCTTGCATATTGCGCCTTTAAACTCAAGAACAATCCAGTAAATTCAATTAAAATTAAAACAATCCAGTAAATTCCAGTAAGGCTTCCATCCAGCGCCTGATGATTGGCATTAAAACAATAACAATAAAAAGGTTTGTTGCTTTCCTTGACGACAAAATGAAGTGCTCTTAATAATTTTATAATAAGTATTTACTGCTTGTTAGTCACACACTTCGCAGCCAAAAATATCAGTTTAATTTGCTTCCAATAAACAATAAAGTTCTCAAATATGGGTCAAGGACCACAAAATATGCTAATTTAATTGTGCAATTTTGCATATTTGTTTTCTTTAATTATACATTTTCTAACCTCCTGTCAGTGAGTTAATATTATGCATTTGAATCTGCTTTTAATTTTAACAAGCTACTAATTTAGGAGAAGTTTCATATAAAGTTCTGGTGATAGTGATGCACAATCTTTGTTGTTTATTTGTTATTTATGGTAAAGTATTGCTTTTAAAGGAAGTTTTATGAATATTGGATGTCTGATTATGGACTTAATCATGCATTGTGTTCATTCTGACCTTTTATTTGTCCTCAAAATTAAACTTATTTGTCCGTCTAATTTCTATTCACACAGGAGTGGAGAATATGGGCATAATCTTCGAGTTTTCCCCCTGGGTGCTGAAGATCTGTCCTGAAGATGGCTTGAAGGTGAGCAGACATTTGCACAAATTATCTCCCAAGAATGTTTAATCCTCATGAATGTAGCAAATGGATTCCTGTTTTTTATGCTTGTAGCTATAAATAGAAGCCCATGTGGATTTTTGCTCTTTTAATTCCAGTCTGACTGTATTTAAAATCCACCTCACATGAAGAAAGCTTCTCTGTTGGTATAAAAACCTCTTTCCCTGTCCAGATCTTTACGGAAGACCTGACAGAGGTGGAGACTCTGCCTAGAGACAAGGTGCTGCAGTTCCTGAAGGAGGGCTTCGAGGAGCTCGCCATCCCATATCTGGAGCACATCATCTACATTTGGGACGAGAAAGGCCCAGAGTTCCACAATGTTCTCATCCAGCTGTACCTGGGAAGAGTTCAAGGCCTCATGAAACAGTATCTCAACTCACTGCCAGAAGGTAGAAGCAAGACAGAACTTTACTTCACAGCCATTTCAGCTGCTTGAACTCATAAAAAGTTTAACCGTAACTCATTTTTGCCGCTTTAAAACACTTAGAAAATAAGTTTAAAGGCATTCAGACAGAATTATTTTCAATTTTCATCCTGATGTAATGATAACAGACTCTTATTATTCAAGTCTACCTGAAGCTGTAAGGAAATAAGCGGCAGCGTGGAGTTGTAGCGTCAGAGCTGAGAAGCAATGTGACCCTGGAGCTTTAATTTTATCCTCGTGAAAGTCTCCCCACCATTTTTAAAAATCTACTTTTTCATGTACTGACTACGGGTTTCCTTTGTGTCTCATTGCTTTGCATATAAAACCTCCGTTGGAACTTATTATCGAATCCGTCCGTCTCTCACTCTTTGTGCCGTTTAATGCTCTTCCTGGGACTGTGAATCGAAACGGGTCTCTTTGGCCAAGACGGTAATATTTTCAGGGATGCTCATTAATGTGCACCGTGTTTGCGAAATAAGCTCGTAAAAACAGCTAATAAAATAAATAAATCTGTCCTTGGGCGGGTTATTGCTTCGTGTCGTGTTATGAAGCGCATTTCATTGCACAGAGTGTTACAGGAAGATATTGTTTCTCTGAGATTATTGCGATTCTCAGCTATGAGGTGGAACTTTATGGAGTTAGGTATATTTTTACAGAGAAAAACATGAGGTAATAATACAACCTGACATTTATGATTTCTGGGCTCAGGTTTTAGTTTTCAGTAACAAAATGATAAACTACGGAGTGAGTACAAGTTTGTTTTTGATTATTTATGATTTTAAACATGCAAATATTCTTCATTCATTTATTAACCCTCTGAAATCCAAACACATTGATTGATTTATTTATTTATTTATTTTTCCTTACTGTGGGCTCATTTTTCTCTGCAGTATAAAGTCCTGCACCTCAGTGGAAACAATACAGACATGGCTAGATGAAAAATGTCTTGTGTGCAATATAACAAAGTTATAATGCATAATCATTCAAAAATAATCAACAAGCCCCCCCCCCCTTTTTTTTTTAATAACAAAAAATTCAACAACCTGGATTCAGTATGTGCAACATTTTTCCAAGTGTCCACGAATGTGTTATTAGGTGGAGATTTTACTACTTTTTTCATTTACTTTCCTTGTAGTCAGTTCATACTTCAGATGAAATGTCTGAATTTGTCATAAATGGCTCCACGGTTGAACCGAAAAACACTTCTTTCTGTATTTTTGGTACATTTTTAAATGAATAAAGTAAATTTAATTCAACATACCAAGTTTAAATTTGGTTACGTTTTCCCATGTAAAGGCAAATCACAGATGAGTAGTTTATGGACCATGGAAAATTTTTAAAAATCTAACAATTCTTTGTATTTTTATAGTTTCTGGTGCTGCTAAATGGTATAATTTTGGATTTTGGGGGGGTTAAAACATCCATCCATTATCTATACACCCCTTAATCCTCACTAGGGTCATGGGGGGCTGGAGTCTATCCCAGCTGACTCAGGGTGAAGGCAGGGGACACCCTGGACAGGTCACCAGTTTATCACAGGGCTACACTTAGAGACAGACAACCAAGCACACTCACATTCACACCTACAGACAATTTAGAATCACCAATTAACCTCAACATGTTTTTGGACCTTGTGGGAGGAAGCTGGATTAAACAACATGCCTATTAAATCTGCAAATTGGTTTTGGGGATCTGAGGGTTAAACCTTTGTGCAATAAATATTGTTATTAATCTGCAGGTTTTCTTAATACTCATTTGTCAGAAAATGGTGAGAAATACTCCTCAAAATGCTGTCAAATTGCTGGTTGTGGCTGCAGCCCCTGACAATCCAATTTACCACCACAGAGCAGCAAATGGTCACTTCTCAGAAAGGGGGACTACTGCGGGTTTTCTGTTTATGGACTAATCGGCTACTTAAATAAATCCTAATTTAAAACTCTCTGTTGCTGCAGGGGTTCCAGCCGTTGCTGCGGGGAAGGAGAAGGGTGAACTGGGAGAGTTCAGGAACAAGCTGCTGTCTTTTCTGGATATTTCTACCAGCTACGAGCCCTCCAGACTCATCAGTGACTTTCCCTTTGATGGTAGGAGCCGACTTCAGACACACACACATTCAGATGACAAATGTGTGGACAGTTGGCAAACAAACCGTCTCCACTGTTTGCTTCACAAATACAAAGAAGGATGTGGTTCTTGAAAACGTTTCACTGTGTGACCCTTTCTGAAGAATGTGATGACGTAATGGTGATGGTGCAGGTATGGAAGGAATTTATTTTTTTATGCGAATCGCGATACAAAACAGCTGATTTCAGTGTCAGGATTTATGCAGCAGGTGCGTTAGAAAACAAAGCACCTCCCTTATTTCCATTCTTTCATGTGCACATGTTCTTGGTTGCAGAGGAAAGTTTGACCAAAGTTATATATCTGGGCTGGAGGGTGTAACTTGCACCTTTTGACCTTGTTTTCCACCTCTAAGGCCTGCTGGAGGAGCGAGCTCTGCTGCTGGGCCGGATGGGTAAACACGAGCAGGCGCTCTTCATCTACGTCCACATCCTGAAAGACACCCGCATGGCTGAAGAGTGAGTCCTGCTGCAAACGCCAGCTAATCCTGCAAAACCGTGTTCGATCTCGACACCAACCACCAGCTGAGTGTTTCTCAGACTCCAGCGAGCTAATTTCACTGATGTTGAGCAATTATTGTGAAGCTATTACATTGATTTACTTCCTAAAATCGTATTTAATTACATGCTTTTTCTGCGAGGCGACTAAATCATTTTGAAAGGCCACAACTGAAATGGATTTAGACTTAATTGAGCCATGATTACCTGCAGTGCTGTGAGCATGTTGGCGACTAACATCACGCGTGCTCTGTTTGCAGATACTGTCACCGGCATTACAACAGCTCAGTGGAAGGAAATAAGGATGTGAGTACTTTTCAGTGTAAATAAAGTTTGGTGATACTGGTGAATGAAGCATTTAGAGGGATTTACACCGACAATTATCAGCAAAATGTGTTCAAAACTTGATCAAACCGAACTCGACATGAGTAGGATTTACTCAAGAACTGTACTGAAGTATGACTTTATTTAATATTTATATTTTCTGTTTTAATTCTACTTTACTGATGCAAATATTGTGCTTTTTGCTCCATTACATTTTTGACGGCTTTAGTTAAATTGCAGATTCAGTTTAATGATACGAAATATCCACAGCGGTGGAAAGTACTTTATTTATGTACAATTTTGACGTAGTTTACTTAATATTTTTCCAATATTTATATTACTTTATAATCTAGTCTACTGAGATAAATATTACACTTTTTGCTCCACTGCATTTTTATGACAGCTTACATTGCAGATGGAAGTTTAATAAGAAAAAACATCCTCAATGGTGAAAAGCAACAAAGTAAATTTACTCAAGTATTGTACTGAAGTATAACTTTATGGTACAATATTTTTGATATGCAAATATTGTACTTTTTACTTCATTACATTTCAGTTTAATAATACAAAACACCCACAGTGGTAGAAAGAGCTTTATGGATAATTTTGAGGTAATTAACTGAATATTTCCAGTATTTATGCTACTTTATAATTGACTCCACTGAAGTAAACATGATACTTTTTACTCCACTGCATGTAGTTGATAACTTGGGTTACACTGCAGATTCAGTTTAATGTTACACAACGTTTGGAAAAATAACTAAGTACACTAACTCAAGTTTTGTACTTGCATACTGTTTTGAGATCATTTACGTGAATATTTTATTTTTATGCTATTTTTTAATTTCTACTTTCTCGGAAAATATTGTTCTTTTTACTCTACTACATTTATTTGACAGCTTTAGTTACATTGCAGATAAAGTTTGATAATAAAAAAAGTACATTTACTTAAGTATTGCACTGAAGTATAACTTTGTGGTACAATAGTTTTGATATTTATTTATTTTCTGCTATAATTCTGCCATACAATTGCAAATATTGTAGTTTTTGCTTTATTACATTTCAGTTTAATAATACAAAACATCCACGGTGGTAGAAAGAACGTTATGGAAAATTTTGAGGTAGTTTACTTGAATATTTCCAGTATTTATGCTACTTTATAATCTATTCCACTGAGCTAAATATTATACTTTTCCCTCCACTCCATGTATTTGATAACTTGAGTTACACTGCAGATTCAGTATAAAATATTTGGAAAGTAACTAAGTAGAGTTACTCAAGTGTTGTACTTGCATAGACTTTTGAGGTAATTTGCTTGAATATGTTTTTCTTTTGTTAGATTAATTCAGTAGCTTTAGTTACATTGCAGATTTAGTTTAATAATACAAAATAATCCCAAGAGTCAAGTTCTGTTTTGGCCACAATGTTGAGGTACTTGTACGTTCATTTTTATGCTACTTTATACTTCCACTGAAATATCGTACTTTTTACTCCGCTGCATTAACAGCTTCAGGTACTTTAAAGATGAAATACAACAAGTACTGCACTTTAGTATAATTTTGAGGTACAATATTCCCATTTCATGCTACTTTATAATCTACTCCACTGAAGAAAATATTCTACTTTTTACTCCACTGCATTTATTTGGCAGCTTTAGTAACACTGCAGATGGAGTTTAATAGTAAAAACCATCCTCAGTGGTGAAAAGCAACTAAGTACATTTACTCACGTATTATACTTGAGCACAGTTTTGAGGTACTTGTATTTGAGTATTTCCATGTCAGAGTGAGATACTGCATTTGTCCGGCAGCTTTGATTACCTTCAAGATTTTAAAGAAGTACATAATACTTATTTCTATACAGTATTACATATTGTAATATACATTATCCAATATACACCAAATATATACAATATTTTATCATTTGTTTTCCCATCACATGGTTTCATTTTATGGGTCCAATGATCCAAAATCTCACCAGAAGATTAGAGGAAGAAGCCAAAAACAAGTTTCTTCCCGTAATTACATGACGACTAATCAGATTTATTCGCTTTTCCTGAATATAAAACTGTATATAAAGTCGTTCAAACTAGCTTTTACTTGAATTACAGTATTTGCACATTGCCATATAAGTACTTTTGCTCAAGTAAACAACCTGAATACTTCTTTCACTACTTGCATTTTGTCGAGTTTGTTGCGTCCTCTCGGATTTTATTGTACTTCAGTTGTGTTTATTCTTTTATGACCACTTTTTTTCATTTGCACGCTCTGTTGCCTTCTGATAAGTGCCTTAGTGTTTGCAGAAAGTGCTACACAAATATAATGGATTATTTATGGCACAGGCACGTTGCCAGCTTTAAAACGGTCTGTTTTGTTCTTCACCTGACCAGAAACGACGGCTCACATCGTCTCTTGTTTTTTTTTTTTTTCTTAAAAGTTGTTGCTCGACTCCGTAACGAAGCAACAGCAGCACCAAGCTCTGAAAACTAATGAATAGGCACTGAGGAGGAATGGAGGGAGAAAATCAATGAATCATTACTGTTCCCGCAAAGGTCACGAGAAACAAGATCCCTGTTTGGGCACTGAATATTGAATCCTGGTGTGTGAAGTGTACTGTTGGTATAAGGCCCTTTATTATAGGCAGTTCTGAAGGAGTGGTTCGTCATTTATTTGCTTTCTTGGATAAGAAGGTTCTTTATGTATCAACAGGGAGCAGCTGGTTAGTTTATCGTAACACACAGGCTGGTGGAAAGGTGGAAACATCTGTCCTGGCTCGGTTTTAGTGTAACAGCATCTACTGACGAGCAACGTTGCAGCTCCTTCTTTTATCGTTCACGCAGGAACCAAAGTCTAAAAATGTCACCTGTGAGAGAATCTGTTGTTTGTGCACTTCCGGTTTTGTGTGGATTTAAGAAATGATCTATAATAATGCTAATTAGGTGCTGGTAGTTGGATTTGTTCAAGCCAAGTTTTTGCAAATTTTTAAAAATGTTAAACAATTTTGGTGTGTAAATGAGTTTATTTTGTAATCATTCTACTCATTACTGCCTTGTGAATTTGCCATTGTTACATGTTGTTTTCTCGTACTTACTATTTTTCATCATTTTAGTTCATGAACCTTCTGAACTCCAGCAGTTTCTGGGGCTTTTATTCGCTCCTGTCACATTTTTTACTCACTGTGGGCTCATTTTTCACTGCAGTATAAGTCTGGCTCAGTCTAACATTGTTCAGAAGTTTGTTTCGGAAACTCTTCAAAGCAGGTGTCATCCCTGCAGACTTCAGGAGTCTGTGCTGGTATTCTCTATACTCTAATTACTGCAAATGATTTATTTTTGGCTCTTTTAAAAAAAAAAAGAGAGACATGTGGAATTAAAGGAAGCTGATCAAATATCACAATTTTAAGCTTAGGTTTGGTTATTGGGTTCGGTTTTTCAAAGACAACATGCTTTTTACAGGGTTTTTTATTGTGTAAGAGAGCTTATTGTTATTTGCTGTTTATTATTGTCCTGTTGCCTCTGTGCCAGCAACTACTGTGAAACTTGTCTCAGTGTCTCATGCTCATTTCATTAAAAAGTGTGATTAGAGGAAACGCTGGACTAAGTGCAGCATTAACAGCAATGTTTCTCCTCTGCAGGTTTATCTGTCTCTGCTGCGAATGTACCTGTCACCTCCTGACGTCCACTGCCTGGGGCCCATCAAGATGGAGCTGTCAGAGCCTCAGGCCAACCTCCAGGCAGCCCTGCAGGTCCTGGAGCTGCACCACAGCAAACTCAACACCACCAAGGTAAGCAGTGATTGAGCTGCAGTCCATTCCTCACCAGGGGGGACTTGAGAGCAAACTCCAGTCTCGCAAAACTCACAAATAATTCAGTTTTTCTATCCTTATAGTGTAAGGTTTCCTGTATCAATGTCAAAGTAAGTAGTCAGTGACAGAAATGTGAACGACTGGGGAATTTACATAAAATTCTTGCACTTAAATTCCACTTTCCTCTGCTGTAAACTCACAAATCTCACAAACTGCTCACTCAGTCAAAGGAGGAATTATTTTCTAATTCAACCCGGGGCAGAGTCGGCTTGTTTAGGCTGGATTAAAATGAGATTAAATAACGTGATTAACGCTGACACGCACAAAATAAGTCTTTGGCATCCGTGGGAATAAAGCAGCGACTGGAGAGAACGCAGCTCGTTTAGGCGTTTGATTTGGTTTGTTTTTGGAGCAGCGATTAGACAGGTTCGCGCTGTCGGGGGTAATCAAGCTGCTTCCTTTGTCACAGAACCCAAAAAGAGATTTCCACCAGGGTGCCCATCTCCCTCAAGAGGCATCTGCATCTTTCATGAATTTCCTTTCACATTTTTTTTAAATACCTACACGCAGAACCAAAATAGCAAAGAGTTAATTGAATAAAAGCTGTTATGTTCACAACTAGCTCCAGACCTGTTTTGTTTGTCAAACCGTCATGTCTCAATAAACCAAATTCTGTGGAGTTTTTTAGTACAATCTGGCTTCGAACTGCAAAGCAAAATCTCTAAACAGTCTACGGCAGCAGACTTTATATTCATCCTTCCCGTATCTTATCACAGAGGAGCAGAAGCACAGTCTCTGAAACACCTCCACTGCGTCACTGTAAATAGAGTAACACATGAAATGAACAGGTTTATCTGCGGTGAGATATATTCTAGCACCATAACAGACTGTGTTGTATCTGTGGATGTGGCCGCGAAAGGCTCCGCTGATGTGTGTCAGACCACAGACATGTCAAATTAACAGTCTGTCGAGGGGAACGCTGCTGGTTTATGAGCATGTTTGGGTTTGGATCTCACCGACTGGAGCTCCATCTTGTCTTTCTGTGCCACTCTGCCTCGCTGAGCTCCCTCATTGACTTTAATGGCTCCCTGCTTTCATTTCCCCTGGCCTCGCTCCCAGACTCTGCCTTGCCAAGCGACAAGACAAGACTATACAAAACTTCAGGCAAAACTTTTGACATAAAGCAGTTTGTGTGTTTGTGAGCCATTGTTTCCAGGTTAGCTATGTTTGCAAAATTTACTTTCTGTGTAGAGGAAAGACTTATTATTTTAAAAAAATGCTTTTTCATGCTTTACGCTGAGCTTTTATGTGTACAAACGAGTGTACCCGTATGAATGTCTTCCAGGAGAGACTGGCCCAGCACCAGTCTCCACCCTATGGCCTAAGCACTAAACCTTCACAGACTGAACTGATGTCACAGTTGTTGACTGTTTGAATTATTAGGGCTGCACATTGTATTAAAAATGAGCAATGGGATACGCTATTATGACAGCACATGTTGCTTGGAAACATCACCATTAAAACAAAGTGAATGTGTACTCTCCTCTTTGGGATTTTACAGTGTTTATACATTTTAGCAAACTACAAAAAGGCAGAAAAGTCATTATCATCTGTAAATCCTACCTACCAACAGGCAAACCTACAGACAAGCCTACCTACAGACAAATCTCCCTGTCATCTACAAACAAACAAACCTCCAACTAAACCTATCTACCTGCTGTACCCACAAACAAACACATCTGCCTACCAACCTACGAACAAACAAACA